ATGATACATTAACAAAAATTAATTTATTAATTTTGTTTTAAAATCCGAATTGAATATACGCAGAGCAAGCACATCACCTAGAATGACACAACAGTTCTATTCAATGTTGGGCACTTAATCCCTTTCCACCTAATCCACCTAATCCGGAATCTAAGCCGTTCAAATTTGATTTAACGATCACAAACAGAGGATCCCTTTAAAAGTGATAATAACCGTAACCGTTTGATCAAATTTCAATGATCCAAATCTTGAACTAGATGGATTAGGTGAAAAGAGATCTTGAGAGGATCATTTTCCCTAAATCATGGCTTTCATCCTTATCTTTTCTCAATTGTTGTTTGTGGGCGCGTACGGTTGCAGTGAGCAAAATGGGAGTGCGTCGCCCATGCGACCAATCAGAAGACCACAAACCAAACCCTAAGAAACTCCGAAGAAGCGCAACAAAAACGTTTCGGAGAAAGTTCAAACAGCCGAGAGAGACTCAGTAGTCTCAAAAGGCAGCAAAAGAACAAAACCCTTCCAAAAATATCAATGTCCCCGAAACCCCACTCCCTCTCCCTCTCTCAGGCATGTCAATTCCAAACCCACCTCCCTCTCTCTCTCTCTCTTATATCAAATCTATACATACAGGCGTTATGCAATAAGAATCTAAGAAAAAAAAAAGACTTCGCATATTCTTTTGGGAATTTTTTCCTTTTTGAATACAGATATCTGCATTTGTTTGAATATATTTATATATTTATATTGATACTGATAAGGAAAAGCATGGCATTTCATTCACAGTCTCTGAGGAAGGAGAAGAAGTACAGTGGTGGTGGGGTTTTTGGGGATGTGTACAGTATGGCCATACTTCCCAAAGAGCTTGAGCTCGAGAAGGAGGCTGCCCACCCGAAATTCGAGCTCCGATTTCAGCTCCCTGACCTCTCCCAACCCCTCAGAGTAATCTCCCCAACTTCTTTTTTTAACTTCTCTTAATTATAACTTTAAGGGGAAATTGGTATGCTTTAATTCTTATTTGTCTGTTTGGTTGCTGAGAAAATGGCATAAAAGCAAGGGAAATGGAGCTATATGGATAACTTTTGTTCAGAAATCAGAACCCTTTTGAGGAATTTGGCCCATTTACCTTTTTTGATGTTTAATTGTTGTGTCTCCGACATGTGAAACACCTATTTCTGAAAAGCTCGAATATTGGAAAAAAAATTGAACTTTTGGGATTGGCTGTTAAATAGAATTTGTATTATTTGGGTGCATTCTTTTCTGTGGGTATTTTTATTTTAGGGGCCTAAAGAAAAATAACATACTATTTTGCCATTGGTATCACAAAAAGTGTGCCTTGATGTGCTTCAGGATTTCTCGAGGACAAGGGAAGTTAGAGAGTTCCTAAGCGGGGCTTTAGCAGGGGCAATGACCAAAGCTGTTCTTGCTCCTCTTGAGACCATCAGGTTAGTGGTAGCTGTTTCACCCTCTTGAAAATGTTATCACTAGTCATTGTATTTGATGCTTTGTGTTTATATAAGCATATATGATTACACGAAGGACTAAATTGGTAAGCGAAGAAGTGTTTAGCTACTCGAAATTAGCTCATTTAACAATGAAAGTCCTGAAGACAACAATGTGGGTTTATATTTGGTGTATGTAGACTCCGTACGTAGAGCACTTATCCTGCGTTTTCCATTTCCAGTTGATTAATTATAATCAGCAATGTCAGCCCAAATGACATTGGTAATTGATTCACAGCAATGATTTTGCACCATCATTTGTTGGTCAGCCTACTTAATTGCATTGGATATACAAATACTTCTGAATGTATAAATACTATTTTCACTAACAAGTTACTGAGATGTAATGGAGATGGATGGAAATAGTCTTGTTTTAGTTCAAAAAACGGAAAAGATTTTGTTATGAAGTGATGCTAACGTGATACGTTTAATTCCTCTACCCATGTATGAATTTCAATGTTGTAGTGTTAAATCAAGTTTATGTGAGAATGGCTGAGCTACCAAGTATTAACTGTAATCAAAAAAATTTGGACAAATTTTTTTATTTTCTTTCATCAAGATGTTACAGTTTTGGAAAAAGTCTAGGGAAGTTAGAGGATTATTTTGCAAGTGTTGATACATGATCATAGTATGTTGGATTTGATATGTGCAGGACCAGAATGGTAGTTGGTGTCGGATCTAGACACATTTCTGGCAGTTTCTTAGAGGTCATTGAGAAGCAGGGATGGCAAGGACTGTGGGCTGGAAATGCGGTCAACATGCTTCGCATAATCCCCACACAAGCTATTGAGTTTGGAACATTTGAGTGTGTTAAACGAGCAATGACATCAACACAAGAAAAGTGGAAGCAGGGTGAATCCCCAAAGGTGCAAATTGGTCCTGTAACCTTGAACTTCTCCATCTCCTGGATTTCCCCTGTCGCTGTGGCCGGTGCTGCTGCCGGAGTTGTTAGCACACTTGTATGTCATCCCCTTGAAGTTCTAAAGGTACGGGTACACTTTATGAGGATATAAATTTAGTCTAGCCTGCTCTACTTTATATCATGTCTGATGACTATGTTATCTATCTAATCTTCCGTGTTTCATTTATATGTGTGGTTTTCTTGTGTGTTCACGTGGAAATATATTCTGCATTTTTATATCCTCTTGGATTATATCTCCTTATGATTTCACTGTATGATGATTTCAGTTAGGAACTATTTATGTTTGACACTTTCTTGGTATTTAACTATATATTGTTTCTTTCTTCTAATTTCTTACGACAGGATCGGCTGACTGTGTCTCCTGAGGCGTATCCCAGTTTAAGCATTGCAATCAGCAAGATTTATAAGGAGGGTGGGATTGCTGCATGCTATTCTGGTCTTTCACCTACACTTATTGGGATGCTTCCTTACAGTACATGTTACTATTTCATGTATGAGAAAGTGAAGAAATCCTACTGCCAAGCAAAGAATAAAGAGTCTCTCAACCGTCCTGAGATGCTACTGGTTGGAGCACTTGCAGGTTAGAAACTTGGCCTTGGTTACGTAAACCAAATTGAAAAGATAGTGCACACCCTTTACCTGTCTTTTTCTTTCCCAGTTTAAATCTTGTTTCGGGTTTGATTAGTTTTTGGACATTTTTGGATCCTAACTGCTACGTCATAGTCCATTTTTCTAGGAATAATATGTCTCAAGTCATGAAGATTATTGAAGCATTTTCTTTTTGCTTTCTATTTTAGTATGTTGCCTAGCGATGGCATATAACCTTTTATTCATCAGTTTAGTAAACATGCATCCTGTGGAAAAACTTTTCTTAATGTCAGTGTGATACAACAATTCATGTAACTTTTGTGTAATTACTAATTAGAAGTATAGAATAGTTATCCTGATTTGCTTGGATTACTTATCTACTATTGGACAATGAAGTTGTATTTCACTAACTTTATTCTGATAAAGTCTCAGATCTTCCACCTCTTGGACACGAAATGTGAATGAACTGCATAATTAGGGAAGTAGACGGAGACTCTGTAATACACATGTCAATTTTGTAACTTGTACGCTTTGAAACTTCGGGTCTCTTTTGCAAAGTGATTTTTTTCTGCTCTTTATGGTTTTTGGAGCCTGAATGATTGGATGGATAATTTTCTTCACTGATTATACATTAAAATATCATATCCTGACCACTTGATTATCTAATACTTACCCAAACATGTCTAGGTTTTACGGCTAGCACAATCAGCTTTCCATTGGAGGTGGCCAGGAAACGGCTGATGGTTGGAGCTTTGCAAGGCAAGTGCCCACCACACATGGCAGCAGCACTTTCAGAAGTCATCCGGGAAGAAGGTTTGCGGGGACTTTACAGAGGGTGGGGTGCAAGCTGCTTGAAGGTCATGCCATCTTCCGGCATCACCTGGATGTTTTACGAAGCTTGGAAGGACATACTGCTTGTTCAGAGACATACCTTATAAGCTGGAACAAGCTCAAGCAAGATTTCACATAGGATCATAGTTTAAACTCACATTGGGATCTATACTGGTGTAAATTACCAGGCCGGAGGTGTCAACTAATTCGTTGAAGTTACGTCTAAGTTGTTTTACACAGGCCTAGTTTGGTTGATCTTGCATCCGTTGAGAGTTTTACTTTCTTTTTCTTCTGTTTTCGGTTTCCCGTGGGCTTGACCAAACTGTCACTTGAGCTTCATTTATGTGCATTACAAGGAATATGTACTGATGAATGTGTTGTACCATGACAAAATAGTGTCTTTTTATCAATATATATATTTGCCTTGTTAGTTCAAATTTCACCCAATTCCTCCCTGATTTTGTACCTCATTGTTAATTTTCCGGCTTAATTGGAATAATAGTGTTTGTGGTGATACGGTGGGTCGAAGATAATCCATGTGGTAACAAAATTCGAATTTAATATTTGTGGTAAATTTTGTTACAATTCTAACTTAAAATTAAAGATCTCATCAATTCTTCGTTAATTGTTAGCACGTTTTGCTCAAATACAAAAGTAGCCTCACGTGCTAACAATTAACGATGACAATTACAAATTATTTTACATTGGAGGATTGTAATGGATAGTTGATGCTGCCAGTCTCTTGACTGCTTCTGTGTTGTTTGTTTTCCTACTCTGTTTTCTTTTCATGTGTCGTTGTGCTTTGTCAATGTAATTGCTGCCGTTTCCTAACAAAAAAAAAAAGCAAATAGTTAGGTCAATTAATCATGATAGTAAATTTATTTTTTACACTGGTGATCAAATTTTCATGAGCAGAGAATATGAATGAAAGGGATCAAGTAAAAAATTCTTACAACGATATATTTACATTAAAATTATAGAGAAATAAATTAATTTTGAACTTACCATCAATAATATTCGAACCAAAAACATCTTACTTGGAAATGAAGAGGAATGCTAATATTCAGTAGGAGTAATTGTTTTTGCTCAGTCAAATGCTTTTTCATTAGTTTGTGGAAACAAATACAAAAAGTCCGTCAGAATTGTTGTAATTTATTTTTTTATAAAATAAAATAAAAGAAATTGCGAAATAGCTGAACCCAGTCAAAAAACACAACCAGATGAAGAACGTGGATTTCCGATCGGAAGTAGGGAAGCCGGTGGTGGTGCTAATATGCGGAAGCTTGGTGTATTACCACTGTGCCCACCGCAACTCCAGCCTCCTCTCTCTCCTCTCCGACGTCCTCATCGTCCTCCTCTGCTCTCTCGCCATTCTCGGCCTCCTCTTTCGCCAAATGAACGTCTCGTAAGTCCTCCCAAATTCCCCATTTTGCCCTTTCCCCTTTTCCTCCCTCAGAAATACCGGAAAGTGGTCGCCTTTTTTTTTTTCTTTTTTTTTTTGTGGTTTGTTTTTCAGGGTTTTGACTTTTTGAGGAATTAGGGATTCTATGCTCTTGTTATTGGGTTGTTGGCTGAATTGGTGATTTAGGGTTTAATCTGATTTTGTTTGAAACTCAATGCAAATTTGTTTTAATTTGATTTAGTGTGATTACAAATGCTTTTGAGAAATTTGGGTTTGGTTTAGATTTTGATAGGGTTGCATTGAATGAATGCATTAGAATGTAAGTAGATTAATATGATAGATGAAATTAATTGGGGGTTTCGATGTCAAATGATGAATTTTACAAACTTGATACTATACTAGTGGTCGATTAGGGATTCTAAGTTCTTGTTATTGGTTTGTTGGCTGATTTGGGGACCAGGTTTTATTTGGTAATGGTTGAATGTAAATGCAGATTTTGTTCTACTTAATTCAGTTTGAGTACAAATGCTTTTAGAAATATGGGTTTCGTTTGGATTTTGATGCTCTTCTACTCTCTCAGGTTGTATTGAGTGGATGCATGTGGAAATTTACATAGGTTATAGGGCATTGAAGAAGTGCCAGAGTTAGTACCATGATAGATGAAATGAAAATTTGTGATTTCTTAGAAATGAACTGCTCAGTTTCAAATCCTAAACGTGTCAATAGTACCATTTTATAAGAGGATTCTATGTCAACTGATGAGTTTACAAACTTGTTAATATTGTAGCGGTGAATGGTGATTAAAGTATCTAATTTTTCTGTTGATTAGGGTACCAGTGGATCCACTTGAGTGGCAGATTTCGCAGGACACTGCTAATAGCATTGTTGCGTGGTTAGCCAATACCGTTGGAGCAGCTGAGTCTGTATTGAGGGTTGCGGCCACAGGGCATGACAAGAGGTTGTTTGTCAAGGTAAGAATCTCGATGCCTAAAGAGGATTTTTTGTTTTGATATGAGGTGTTGCAGAGCTGTATGGATGATAAATTTCAACAGCTTTTATTGAGACATATACTGCCGCTTGCTTTAAGTATCAAGGGAGAGGTGTTAAACACCTGTATTAAGAACTTGGAAGTTGTCGTAATTTTGATTCCTTTTGGCATATAACTACAGATGCGTGTTGTTTATCTGCCCATGTGTTTCTCATTGGGAAGACTTTGATGTTTATGTTGATGACAAATCACACACCACTTGGAGCACAATTCATAATGTACCTTTGCTTTACTACAAAGTATACAACAAGAACAAAGTGGAAGCTAATATGTAATTTTAGTAGATGTACATGAGAACAAAGTTTATGTTTTTCACCGCGTACGTACAGCCCTCACTATATTTTTCAGGATATCAATCTGTTTATGGAACTTTAAGCCTAAGTAGGGCAGCTTGCGGTGGCAGTCCTTTGACTGACAGATCATCCTGTGTAATAAAAGCAGTCTTCTTGAAGAACAATTTTGGCCTCTGCTAGTCCATCAAACTGATTTTATTTATTTTTTTCCTTTTTATTGGGATGGTTGCACAGCTAACCATATAATGTAAATCTTTCTCCAGGTGGTGATTTGTCTCTACATGCTATCGGCTTTGGGACGGTTGATTTCAGGTCTTACAGTTGCCTATGTTGGTACGTTGGTTTCTTAAATCTGTTACCTACCTCTCCATGGCCGAGATGATTTAAAGTAGTTTGGTCTTTTGGGCTTATGGTGACATGTATTGATGATTTAGTATATTATGTTTTTCTTGGCCTGGTCTGTATCTTTGTTTTGAACATCACACATGTAAAACTAACAAGAATCTGTTTGCACCTGAAACAGGCCTATGCTTGTTTTGCCTTTATATGGTTGCGGAGAACAGTGAGTCAATCAGTGCATGTTTGTCACGATTCCTGAGGAGAACAACTGATCTAACCGAGGAAGATGCTGCCGAGAGCGATACTATGTAGTTAGGTTTTCTGATTAACTTTGTGTGCAACGAATCTCTGTATATTTCCCTGTTTGTGCGCTTGTATTTTGAGTTGCTCATTTGTACATGCTACTTCGTGTCTGACCATTTTGGTTGGCACATTATTTTTTCCCAGTAGATGCAGTCTACTGTACAAATTGTTGATTAAATGACACTATTGCTCAATAAATGCTGGTTTTTGCTACAACCTTGTGCTTTTACTTAACACAGTATTGAATCATCGAATTGGAAAAATTGAAAAAGGGCAAGGATTGGGGAAGTCCGATGAGCTTGAGAATTTTTGAACAACTTTCAGAAGAGGCATAAAGCTTTAACTGTTGAATGAGCTTGAGAACTGTTATTTCTATATGTAAAGTGAAATCAATACAGCCGCCAAGAAGATAATTCATGTCAAAATTTACAATTACAGATGCGGAATAATGAAGTATTACACCAATCCATGAACAGGTAACAAAACAATTTGAGCCAAGCTGCGCCCTCTATCGCAAAGTTTATGCCTTTTGGCAAGCCGTGCTTGGAATAACAGGTCTAGGGTTCAAGAGTGCCACAGGAAGAATTGGCCCAAAATCTTCTGCCTCTTCGGAATTCCAGCTTCCAAGGGGTATAAAGCTTCCATATTGCTCTGAAGGTGACTCTGAAGCAACCTCCTCCACTGGTTCAACCTTTCCAACCACATCCAGTTTTGTCACAAACCGGTGATCCAAGAGCTCAGCAGCTGTCGATCTCTCGAAAGGGTCCCTCACTAGGCACTTTCCCAGAAAATCTTTAGCATCATCGGATAACCAGCCTGGAATATTGGGAACTTTTGAAGCAACAAGGGGCTCTGGTTCATCCAATTTAGCGCCATGTTTCGCTTCCCATGGCTGCCTCCCTGTTAACATCCTGAGCACAACGCAACCTAATGCCCAAATATCGGAAGGCTGCTCCTGGACTCTGCAACAAACAGCTTCCGGAGACAAATACATCGATGTTCCTTGACATGTAAGCTTCTGCATAGCCGTCTTTGCCAGCCCAAAGTCCCCAATTTTTGGCACAAAACCAGAACCGGAGGTGACAAGCAATATGTTTTCAGGCTTCAAATCACAATGCACATAACCCCTTTCATGAATGTACTCTAGCCCACTCAAAATCGCTTTGGTATAATTCCTCACATCCAATGTAGATCTAACTCTCTATTCACTTGTGAGATCCAAGCGATTTGGGAGGGACCGCCACCACCACTCCAAAAGAACCAAATCAAACTTACATAATTCTTGCAAAAAGAAAATATAATACTTAATTAGACATGAAAGAGAAATCAAAACAAAAAGCATCCAAGAGATCAAACCAATAAGCACAAACAAAAAATTCCATTTCAATTTATTAAATAAAAACAGTGTTACACAATAATAAAGCGAAAACAGTAATGCATAGCTCAAATCCACTAAACTACATAAACAAAAGCTGTAATGCAAAGTCTGAACCCACATAATTTAAGAGTGAGCACGACTGTAATTTTGTTGAAGGAGAAATGCAAATTTTGAAAAACTATTTTTTTTAAATATATTATTAAGGGAATGAGGGTTTAAAACTATTACAATAATTTAAAGAAGAGAGAAATTTCAAACCCGGAACACACGAGTAGAATCTCAACACGGCATCCATTAAGATATTCAACTACATGCAGTAATTTTTGAAAACTGCATAAGTCCCATCTATAAAAAAAAAAAAATCTAAATTAACAATATATATTCATAGACAAAATGCATATTTGCTCTTTTAAAGTTGTGCATTTGGGTGTTACTTTTGTCATTCCATACGACCAAACACTTGGAAAGAAAACTAACACTTTAAAAGCACTTTTGACTTTTGGAGGGGCAACGTTTTTAAAATTCTGGTCCCTTCTATGCCCCGCCACTGCCGGCGAAGGAGGCGGCGGAGCTGGCGAGAAAGTTGGGTTAGGAGGCACCATTGTTTTGAGTATCACGCAAAAGCACAAACATAATTTGCATAGTGAAACATACCCTGATATAACTTTTTACATCATATTACATATCAACACAATTTTGTTGTTGTCGTCCCAAATTCACACACTACGAGTAAGCTATAACTAGACAGTAGTATCTACGCCGCCTTCAACCGCGCATGGATCATTACATTGCTTTACATAAATATGTGTACCCAAATATACGTAAATGTAAAATCAGAAAATACATCACGGTAGCTTCAATCATCTGGCTCTTCTTCTTGCAAAGAAGACGCGGTAGCTGTCTTATATATCTTGCAGACAGTTTTCCACAGAACTAGCAAATGTCTACCCCTGTTTCAAGAATCGCACATTTTATAAACTTTTCAACGAAAACTAGGACAACTTAATTACCATCGGTTTGGTGCAGGCATTGAGTTTTCATCAATCAACGCCGCTGTTGTTTCTTATGCTTGAAATTTCTTGTAAAAGGTGCCATTCTTGAAAAGAAAAGGTTAAACTTTTGCTTGTTCTAAGGTAATGCTTCTTCCTTCTGTCAACTGCCCGCACTCCACAAGCAAAACCTTCAAGCCAAATGGATTGAGCAATGTCTACCCCTTTCTATACCCCCTCAGCTTCTGGGGTTTGGACATCTGCGTGTTAAAGGGTAAAAGATTAACATCCAACTAGGATAATCAGTATAAAATAAGAAACATATAAATCCATTAAGCTTGTGTAACAATTGCACAGCCTGAGACGATGTTTCCAACAGACGATGTTTCCAACAGACGATGCTAGATTAAGAAGCCATATGAGAGAGAGTCTTCTACAAGATGCAGATAAAATGGGAAATTGACACACCTTCACCGGATAGCTGTTGAAACCGAACAACTATGTGTTTCCCATAAGTATATTTCTTCAGAGCATCAATATGAACTCTTATAAGTTTGAGCAGTATTTCCCGCTGTCTATCATTGCTTGTTTCAAGAACCTTCTGAACCACATAATTGGCAAATTGGTCCTTCATCATTGGCTGGAACATAAAAAAACAACGGAACTCAATATGCAGAAATCATACTTCAACCAGCATTATGCAGCATTCAATATCTACACTTTCAAACTCCGCACGGTTCCCAAAAGTTAAGCAGAATCTTCAATACTCATGCTATTAAAATACCAGAGTGTGTTTATGAATTTTTTGGAAACAAATGAAATCTACTTTTATGGAAATGCACAACTTGATGTTTCCTAATTGGCTCAGGTTTCAAACCATAATTATTATGCTGTCTTTGAGCCAAATCGTCCTATCCAACTGATATCTAATGTTGATGGGCAAATAGGCTTTATCGAGAATAAAAAACCTGAATACATGGGATAACCTATCATATGCATTTTTGCTTCACTTACCAACAGGCTATCATTTTCTTCCATTTGTCCAATGATTTCCTCAATCAAGAGCTCCCGCTCAGTAGTATCACCATACTCCAGACACTTCTCAACAACATTTGATGCATATTTATGCTGACTCAATCGTACAATCTTCCCAACCAACTTGCTGATAATTTGGCTTCTTTCGTTGGGCTTTCCCCTTTCCAGAACATGCTGTAAGCAGTATGATCCATCTTTATATTCCATTCAATTAGAAATGATAGAAACTTAGGCAATGCAAGGACACATGAAGAAGAAAACATAAATTAGAAACCAAAAGGAACCATCTCCTATAACTATTTTTAAGCTCCAATGCATCGCTGTTACTATTCTGTCGTAACCTCATTTTTTCACAACTTATTTTAAGTAAACTCTATCATCATAAGCTAGTCTTCAGGAAGTCCATTCTTCAAAAACTAGTCTTTAACTTCAAATTATACCGATGAAGATTCCAGCACCACCCTTTTCTTCTCTCTTGATTGGATAGACACCACATATGACATATTAGGTTTGATTTTAATATAACTATAATAACCATTTGACATAACAAAGAACCGATTAGCCCTCACCCTTAAACCATTGCCGACAATCGAAGAAAAGTATTTTTGTGATATTTTTCAGGAGCTATTTCAACCCAGAAAAGCCATTTCGGCTGTGTGATTTTGTTCAAGAATTGCCATTTTGGCTGTGTGATATTGTTCAAGAATTTTACCACCTGGCAGCATTTTCAGAATTCTAGATCAGTGTAGTCACTTTCCAAGTGCTAAGATTACATACAGGAAATTAAGAATGATACGTAACTGGAAAGCAATCAAATTAGGGTTTAGGGTGTTCGTGGAACCTCTCTCTTAGCAAAGAAAGAATCGAGGAATCAAATAGTTACTTTGTTCTCAATAAAAGAAGCAACAGACAGTAAAAGTAGAAAGTAGAAACCAACCTGGGTAACATAATTGCCATACTGATCTTGAGCAAGATCATAAGTAGATTCCAAGATCTCGTCAACAATACACTGACTTTGAAGGTCATCTGAACAATGCTCCAAAACTCTCTAGCAAGTTAAAGTGTAATGTTTCAAAACCTGATCTACAAAATCTAACTGGAGACTACATGACGGAATACTGTTGCTATTACCTGTATGACACGACAGCCATAGGGATGAGTAGAAAGTGAGGCAACTTGTCCTTGAAAAGCAGAAATGATAAATCCAATTTTCTCTGTGGGAATGCATTCTATACACTTCTGTATTACATGATTTCCATTTTGATCTCGTACACATGTCATGACATGTCCATCAAGCTCATGCACAAGTTGTATTTTCTGGTCAAGCTCAATAACTTCGAGAGCCTAAAAGAAACATCCAGCACAGACTTAAGAAGAAAACATTCGGACAATATAAAGCATAAGGAAAATTTTTCCCAGACTAATAAAGAGATGTTCCCTCCAAATACATAGTATTGTTCATTGTTTACCCAGCAAAGGGTTTTGAAAGAACTCCTGAAAGTTTATCTTCCGTACTTCAAAAAACCTATTTTAGAACCCCTCTTCAACCCCATCAACTCTTGCAGTATAAACCTTTATATAAATAACACATCCCTTGGTAAAAATCTCATAAGCAGAAAATAGCATGTTCATCGGACTTAAAACAACATATTTACTGTGAAAACATCAAGTTTTAGCATACCTTCTGGATTACACGACAACCATACATCTGCAAACTTAAAGGCAAAACTTGCCCAGCAAGTTGATCTGCAAGCTCCTTTTTCTGCTCAGGACTCCCATATTCAAAAAACTGTAATACAAAAAAAACAAAAGAATCATACAATTTTAATAGGCCATCCACGGAATTCACAAGTCAATAAAGATGACATGTGATGCAAAAAAAAAATGTAATTAAGCAGACACAAATTATGAATTCCTACCTTTTGAATAACATAATTCCCAAATACATCCGTCATTAATTTTGAAGCACGTGGAAGAATCTCTTTGAAAACAGATGCCTTGTCTTCAGAACTGCAGTACTCTAGCTTCTGTTGAATAAATCGACTCCCATGTTGATCGACACTGAAGTTATACATGAATATTAAAAAATAATAGAACAAACACAAATGTTATGTACAAGCAAAGGAAAAGTAAACGTGGAGCAAGCAATACCTGAAATCAACAATGCGCCCAGCTATATCAGAAAGTTCAAATTTACGGGTATTACTAGATTTCAGTTCTTCAAGTAAAGAGTGTCTTCTAGGATCATCCAAGATGGAGCTTCTCTGCCCTTGCCACCCAGAATATACTCCACTAACAGAACCTTCAGGAGACCTCAATTCATATTTCCGACCAAGATGATTCATTCTGCCCATTGGAGATGATGGCAATATTGGACTACCGAGATGTGAGGCTGGAAACTGTGTCACTACACCCATGCCAGAAGGATGTCCATAATAACCACTACCATTGTTTCCCACATTCCTTGGACTTAGAATACCCAGATTACCATTAGTTGAAGTGTGGAATTTTGGGTCAGCCCTATAAGCATTAACATTTAATTCTTGTTGTGAAAGTTGGCCTCTGACAACACCCCTTGACGCCAAGTGACCATGAGGAATTGAAGCACCATATGAATCCTCCAACAGACGAGGATAGTATTGCGTATAAAGGGGATCCACAAAAGGTGGCTGGAGCACTGGCCCATGTTGCCCATAAGATCTACTAGGGTGTTGCATATCACCTTCATGGGGAATCCTCTCCCCTCTTGAAACATCAGCAGGTCGACCATTGAAACTTGGCCCCAAAGTAGCATCAAAGAGCATTTGAAAAGACCCATGAGAAGCATACCCAGGCATATATGAAGGAAGATAAGTAGAACTTAAGGCATATCCACCCATTCCATATTGTGTAGGAAACGCACCAGACGACTGATAATTTGAGTAGAATGGACTTCCTGGAGTCATATATGCTGTGGCTGTACCATACAAGGGAGGTGTGACACCAGGTGAGTGCAATGATGGTTGTGTCTCAATAGAAGAGAATTTTGGGTACCCGTGGGGAAGATTTTGCATTCTGCTTTGCAAATGATTCATTCCTTGTGAAACTAATTGTGCTTGGAACCCCTGAAGTTGATATGGAACCCCTTGTTGTGTAGACAAATTGTGTTGTGGTAGATACCTCCCATAAGATTGTTCTTGTTGCTTGTTATAGTTGGTATCAACTTTAGCTGCTCTCGCTCTGGAAAGATCCAAGCCAAGGTCACCATTAATCGATGCATTATTCCCCGACCCATCATGCTCAATATTAGATTCATCTTTTTGTAGGTTCCCTGTAACATCACGATGTTGAGCACTTGGGGAGGTGGTAGGCAAAGGAACATCATTTGGTATGAACCCACGACCAAGCGCGTCCGAGGCACTTGTATCTGGACAATCATTGATAGAGTCTGAATTTGGTTCAGGTAATTTTGACTTGTTGACAGAAGAAGCATTTGGTGAAAGTGAATGTACATCACTATCAATTGGTTCATCTGTTGTTCCAAGACTTGAAGTGAGGGAGTGATTATATAGAGGAGATGGAGTCCGGGGGAAGTCTTGCTGAAACAAACCACCAAGAAGATAAAACATATAAATACAGGGCAACACATACTGGAAAATTATAGCTGATACATTAAATGAAAATTTTGTAATTGGCCAAAGGAGCTATGAAATTCTGAACTATATGGTTAATCATGAATACAGGAATCCAAATGTAGTAGTCATATGTTCAAGCTAAATGCAAAAAGCAAATATTAAAATAAACAAAAGAGGAGTTAAACATGGTTAAGCATAAGTAAGACATTATTTTTTTTATAAAAGTTATACCTACTAAACCACTTACTTTAACTCCTACCTGTATGAGATCCACTAGACTCTTATTATAACTTGCCAAAGAAACCGTGTCCTTGACAGGCATTACTGCAACACTATCTTCTGCCAAGTTATCATTAGACTTTCTGGATGAACTAGCATCATTAGGGTCCTCCTGAAGAGTTGAGAGAGAACCTTGAGAAAGATGCAAGGACCTGGCGCTGTCATCTAAAGAAGTCAGTCTCCCCTTGGTTCCTAGACCACCACTATGGCGGACAACATGATGATTCTCCCGTACAGTAAGTGGTGGAGGCAGCTTTGCGTTCAAGTTCATATTTGATAAGTAGTATGCCATATAAGCTGGGTCTGAACGCAGTTTTTCTTCATTCTCAACATTATCCACAGTGTTGTTTAAATTAGTCAAGCTTGTTTTCATGCTGGAGTTCTGTTGACTTAATAGGTTTTCAATAGAGGAAAAGGAACCTTCCATACTTGGTGGAGCACTACCACTTCGACTGGGTATAACTTCAGCTCTCTCTCTCTTAAAGCCATGCCCCTTTGAAATGAAGCCCGACTCCTCTGCTGTCATACTTCTCACTGGAGATCCAAACGTTGCAGCATCCTTAGATGGGGGCCACTTCTTTCCCCTGCTGCTTTCTACCATTCTCATGAGACCCTCAGTTGCCATCCTACCAGAATAATGATGATTTTTACTTATCAGCAATTACCTTCAAAAACTGTTCAGCATATCAAATTCAGGTTATGCTTCTTCCAACAGTCCACAATGGAAAATCATAATTCAATCCAAGAAGGCAGCGCACACACAGAATCTAAATAATGCAGTCGCAACAAGAAGCCCCTGCATACAGAACATAGTTTATGAATTATCCACATCATGTCACTTTCGTACACATGTTCACAGAGATTGTAAATACAAAATGTGTTGCGAAATCTTTTCCATAAAGCATAAACTAGTTCTGCATTGTTAACTTCAGCACAGACCCCATTGAGAAGACCACAAACAAATGCAGAAACATGTGTCCAAATCCATCATGAAAAGTTGAAAACTATCACATATCTAATACGTAAACAGTAACCAATCTATCAAAATGGAAAACAAGCATAAGAGTACCGAAACATAAGTAAATCCTTCCACATTCTTCTTCTGAAATTATAAGACTCACATTGCATGTCAATAAATGAACTTCCTCCCACTACAACACTTAATTGCCTACATTTTGACCAGAAAATTAGTCTGGGTCTAAAAGACTGGTTGTAGAAACTTGTTATTTTCGGTTCCTTCTAAAATTTAACCATCTAACGATCAATTTGTGTTTCGAACCTATATTACACTACCAACTTCTCGACCAGTGTATGAGTAACAGTACTAAACACATGGAAACCATTTATGTTCTCAAGTAGCATTAATGTTCTACTCACAGAGTCTTACGGTAATGGGGATAAATATACCCTCTATTCGTGTAAGAATAATGTCATCCAGAGCACCATTTCTTCTATCAAAAGAACCAACTTAACATATGGAAACCATCATATTCAGATTTATTATACTGCTTCTCATTTATATGCTCTCTGCTGCATACAATTCATGAATTGTGTTTGACTCACCCAACTGCCTTTTCTGAACTATGGTCAATAACCAATTACATTCGACTAAGTAGGGCCGAAGTAATCGTTCACATGGTTTACTCTGTCTCCTATGTATATGTTTTCGACTCTAATAAAGTACACCACTCTTGTTTCAGCTTCCCAACCTATAAGGATGCTAACTTCATCATACAGCACTACAGTTAAACGCATTTCTTTCCGAAATCAAATTAAGAAAAAATTTCGACATTCACATGCGACAACAATTACACTGTTCCATGAAGTAACCTCACAATCACAGCCAATTGACACAACACTTGTAACGGTCTCTTCGAAAGCGAAATTAAACCCATTAATCACACTTATTTAACACCCTATATACATAGAATTTGAACAAATTTCCAAAAACCAACAAACCCAACAAAAATATATTAAAAGTAAAAGTAACTGAGTTCCCAATAGTATAATCCATCTGAAAAATACAAACTTGCACATATTTGAGTATAAAGATCATGAGAAAGAAGCAGGGGATGCAAAAAATTGAGAATTAATACTAAAAATTTAAGCAGAAAAAGGATTGGAATGTCTCACCAGGTAATGGCAGCAGCAATTCTTCAAAGTCTGAAACTTTGAAAGAACAAAACCCAAAAGCCCAAGTCTTTTTGCAGAGCTGTGGAATTACTGAGAAGGGTTTGCTTTAAAGAGAGAGAAAGCTTAGGAGAGAGAAAGTCTTTGCAGAGAAATTGCTGGAGACTTGAGAAGAAGCAGAGAGAGTTTTTCTTTGTTTGGAAAATACAAAATTGTTGCTTGCATAACATTCTCATTTCCCAGGGTTTGGAGTTTTTAATATTTAAATGTTTTTCTTTTTCTTTTTGCTTTTTCAGTGTCGTTCAAAGAAAATTAGAGTTTATTCTGGTTATGCATGTGATAAAATGACATAAATGCCCATGTTTTTTGGCCGGAAATAGATTAATGTCCTAATATGATGCTTTGCATAGGGGTAATTTCGTCCAGACGACACGTGGTGAGTCGAGGTTTGTCCAAGCAAAAGTTTTCAACCACGTGGCAACCTAGTTGTTGTTGACTTTTGTTGGGTTTTGAAAGAATTGAGGGAGTGATTGGATGCATTTGAATGTGTCATAGGAATATGCCCAAAATTTGTTGGGCATTTGTTGGGCATTTACTTGGATTTTGATTCATATTTCTTGAGAAGTTACTAGCTATGAGACTTGAAGCATCAATGGCTTTGTTTATGTTCTTTATAAATAAAGTTAATTGTGACTCCTCAGTACTACAATCTGATGATATTCATTTTTACTTGGAAATGAGATATCTTAGGTTTAAATCTCGTAAATGGTGAATTCGATACAAAATTAAGTTGTTCATTATATGAAGTTTTTATTTGAAAACTCCACACAACTCTTCTCATCAAAGCACCTCTATTGGGTTCTCTGAATGAGATTCTAGCTAAAATATATAAAATTTGGAATAATTCATCTTCAATCACCGTACTCTATGTAAGATAAAAAGTAAAATAAAATAAACCTCTAAGAGCTCATAAATCTAGAGAATTAAAAAAGACAAAGATTGTCTCTCCTTCTATTTTCGGTGTCTTCCTATTTGTGTGGTCATGGTTAAATCATGTCAACATTTTATATTACTATTCATTTTTGTCTTATTGTCTTTATAAAAAAAAATAATATAAAATGTTGACGCAATTTAACTATAATTATAGAAAGCAGAAGGGCACCAAAGTAGGAGGGTATACATTCCTTGTCAAATTAAAAAAGGTACCATTGAAGATGCTCTCACCTCTCCACACTTGGCTATTTGTAGGACAATCCACTTGGCTACTTCGGGAGGAAAACTGTCACCTTCATGTTTCGTTAGCATCCTCACTTTCTACTGATTATTATTATATTAATTTTTTTCACCTACTATTATAATCTTACGCAATCATCCTTGTAGTTAAATAACAATTTTTGCTCTCAACCAAAATGATAATTAATAAATGTCGTTTAAAGACAGTTTTACCCTTATATCATTAGAAATTGTGGAGCAAAAAATAATCGCAAAAAATATGAAGGCGACACGTGGATTCTAAGGTAGAAAAAGACAAAATTACCCTCGAAGCACACCGAAGCTTCTACGCACAAGCAGCGGACAATCAAGATCAAAAGTGATCAAAATAGGTATTTATTCAAAACATATTTCATTCATCCTCATCAAATCTCCCTCACAAGGTAACTCTCAAATTATTTCTCCTAAATTATATTAATTAGCTAATTTATTTATTTATCACTCAATTAATTTATTAATTAGCTAATTAATTGTAAATTACACCAAAAAACCACAATAGTGGCCGGTTCCCATCTTTCCCAAAATGGCTAGCCACACCCCTGTAAATACCATCTCATTTTCTCCAAAAACCTAAGTTAAATCCTCTTGCAAAATTCTCTAAATTCTCTAAACACTTTTCCCTTGAAATTCTAACTTTGACATCGAATATTCTTCAGCCAAAGTCTCCCCCATTCATCATAGGCACGTGAGGCTTTTGGCCTTGACCTAAAGTGTTAATTGTTTTGTAAGTGCAATTTTGTCCAAGAAGAAGAATGCGGAAATTTGCATCCACAAATTAGTGCTTTCATTTAGAATTTGGTTCACACGCTCGAAGAAGACTCTCGCATTCAACGTTTCTAATTTCTCGTTCATTTGTAGATTTTTCGTATGTTCTACTTCCTATAATTTTTTATAAAATTCTTTGAATAAACGTAAAAGAAAAATACAATGATAAGAAATTTGGAAACCACAACGAACGAAACTTCCTACATTCAAAGATCCGGATCAAGTGATGGAGATTGCGATGTAGCCCCACCACAACGATCCATAAGGCTCAATGCAACGACAAGAGGAGCAATTTTGGAAGCCACAAGTACCACCGTGGTAGTGAGGAGTGGGCCAGCTCCATGGCAACAGACCATGGCCTTATGCGCTACCACTACAGCAACCCAAACCCAGGACCAAGCCAAGGCCTAAGCGCTAGTAGCAGCTACACAAATAGCCTAATCTGTAGCCCACGTCGCAAGGCAGCCGAGCCAAGCCCAAACCGCTGTCCAAGATGCATCGCAAGCCCAAGCTACGCTAACCATTCCCTAGGCCCAGATCCAATGCACTCCCAGCACCGCACTACGCCCACGCGCCCAACACGTGGCACGACCCACTTGCACAACCCAATCCATTCCCGTGGCTCACTAGGCGATCCCGACTGGTCCAAGACTGGTTCAACAATCCTAGATTCATATTTCTAGACCAACGTTTGGACCGAGGGCATTTTCACACCATTTTTCCACAGATTTGAAGTTTCCCAACTCAAATCTCGCACCCAGAGTCCATTACACTTCCACTATTCAAGGAGACGCATACCGTCCAAGCTCTTCTAACCCGAATGGTGAACCACATTTGTCTCGACAAGTCTTAGAGTTGACAAGTGCCCTCGCACAGCAGACAACCTTGGTGAATCAGCTTTTGCAGCGCACCGAGGTGCAACGTGCCCTAAACGAGGTGTCCCAAAGCATGACAAGGGCAGATGATGAACTTCTCTAGCAGCGTCCCTGCAAACAACCCCTCAACCAGCCACGATCTGAGCGTTCTAGCAGTTTACGCTCCCGCCTGGGTCATCGGCGTAGTGTATACTCTCGTCTTAGCGAGCGTATGAGCGTGCACTATCGATCAAGCTCGCAGACGAGCATACGTTCACAGTTGAGGCCACACTCTGATTATCAACATGGACAACCTTCCAGGCGAAGTGTTCATTCACAACTAGGCTCACAAGAAACATTTTTTACCTCACATCGGAGTAAGCAGCACGACGAATGGAGAGAATCAGTCACTCAATTTGGCGGGAAAGCATGCATTATGGGACGAGGCCAAGCAGTTTAATAAAAACGAGTCGAAAAATAAGCGCATGGAACGTTCCCCGACTAGAGAAGACTCATCGCCCGAAACATTCACCAAGTTCACAGTTCCCATCAACCAAATTTTCCGTAAGCTCAAGATCGAAACTTGGTTTGAACTGCCGCCATCCATGAAAGGCATCTTACCAGGCTGGATCATACAGAGTATTGCGTATTCCATCAAAGACTGAGCCACACTACCAACGGCTGCCTAAAGTAGAAGTAGTACCTTGAGAAGCTGAAAAATGAGGTCAGTGTAACGAGTATCTTGACAGGTCAACGATACGGCCTGCACAAGTAAGGGAAGTCTCCATCACGCCCTGAACCCTGTTAGGGTTTTTCCAAATAAGTTCGAAGTCTCAAGCAACTCGATGAACAAGGCTTCGCAAGCCAATGGTTATTCAGTTTGATATGCAATTTCAACCTTCCAGCAAAGTTGATTCATTTCTTTATTCTTAATGAAGATTCAAGAAGTTATTCATAAGCCTGGCTCAACTGCTGTCTACAACAACTGCTCAAACCCCTATCTAGGTTTGCTCTCTAGTGCGAGAAGATAAACTAATTACTCTCCAGTGCGAGAGGGTAAACCAATCCCTCGACACCCAAAAGGGTCTGCTCTCCAGTGCGAGAAGATAAACTAATTTCTTTCCAGTGCGAGAGGGTAAACCAATTTCCTAATACCCAAAAGGGTCTGCTCTCTAGTGCGAGAGGATAAACTAATTACTCTCTAGTGCGAGTGTAAACCAATTCCCCGACACCCATATGGGTAAGCTCTCCAGTGCGAGAGGGTAAACTAATTCCTTGACACCGATCTGGGTAAGCTCTCCAGTGCAAAAATGCCACATAGCTCAGAAGATCGAATGCTTGAAAACCACCTAAGCAACAAATGGTTAGGGGGCAGCAGCTACTTTGCACCCAACAGTTCGCTCATCCGACACTTCATCTTCAGCAACTCCATTGTTGACTGCTTCATCTACGGCAGCTGAGAAATCAAACTTAAGCAGTTTCCTCATTTTTGGCAAGCAGCCCAGACGTGGTAGCCCAAATCGTGGCCCATGCCACGCCACTTCCTCAGCCCATGCCGAGTTAGTCCTTGGCTTCAGTCAAGCCGAGCAGCATAAGTAAATGGCCCTTGCTATACCTCTTCCTTGGCCCATGCCAAGCCGACTCCTAGCCCCTGCCAACCGACGTGCCGCACCATCCCAACGGCTGCCCCATGGCAGCACCACCCAAGAAGAAAACAAGGAAAATTAAGTTTTTCTTACATCGGTGCAGCGCCGAGAAAACAAAGATATCAACAGAATACAGTTCTTTGCACATGCAAGCAAAGAAGAGTGCTAGGGGAAATGAACAAATATCCTCTAGTTTTCTCTCTTTCTTGTAGGGATAAATAATTGCCCTTCGAAGTTGATTTAATCCCCTACTTAAGGTAGGCCTAAGTAGGCTTTAGAGGCGATTTATTTCCCTTTCCTAGAAGAATCTAATTCTAAGTCCAAGTGGAAATCTGCATCAAAGTTGAAGATCTCTACACTTGCTGCCCTTTTCTGCGAGCAGGCTAACAGGTGTAGGAGCATTTATGGAGCAAAAAATAATCGAGAAAAATATGGAGGCAACACGTGGATTCTAGGGTATAAAGGGACAAAATTACCCTCGATGCACACCGAATCTGCTATGCGTAAGCAACGGACAATCAAGGTCAAAAGTGATCAAAATAGGTATTTATTCAAAATCTATTTCGTTCATCCTCATCAAATCTCTCTCACAAGGTAACTCCCAAATTATTTCTCCAAAATGATATTAATTAGCTAATTAATTTATTTATCACTCAATTAATTTATTAATTAGCTAAGTAGTTGTAAATTACACCCAAAAAACCACTAAAGTGGCCGGTTCTCATCTCTCCCAGAAGGGCCTGCCGCACCCCTATAAATACCACCTCATTTTCTCCAAAAACCTAAGTTGAATCCTCTTGCAAAATTCTCTAACACTATGTTTGGATGAAGAAATTTAAGATTCCCAAGGAATTTTAAAATGACGGAAATTGAATTGACAGGATTTTATTTTCTAGAATTTGTGAATTTTCTTGTTTGGTTAGCCTAAAAAAACAATGGAATTGAATACGGAATTTTTTATTTTTAAGCTCTCAATCATAGAAATTGGGAAATGACACCTATGTACATGGAATTTAAACTTGGGAATTGGAGGTCCCAAATTCCAATTCATCGTGGGCACATGAGGCTCTTGGCCTTGACCTAAGATAGTAATTGTTTTGTAGGTGCAATTTTGTCTAAGAAGAAGAAGGCGGAAATTTGCATCCACATGAAGCACTTGCTAAGCTAAGCCATTTGTGTGGGTAGTTTTGTAACTCTAAACATTAATCATATAAGACATCTCCAACCCTTGGGGATAAAGTTTAAAAATTTAAGTCATAACCTAGAAACTGTTTTTCTCATCCAATGGTTATGGCTTAAAATTTAACCCAAAGTTATTAAATAATTATTTTAGCCTCTTTTTTTTTTCAGTAGTTCTTTTTAAAATAAAATTTATGTAGATTATCCTAATATATTTTTATGAACATTTTAATTTAAAAATATTTAAATTCTGATAAGTAATTAAAAATCATACAAATATATAGGTATTTTGTTAGATTTGATCTCATTTGATCACAGTCGTTAAATTAAAGTAAAAAAACAAAACAAATGTTTGAAATATGATAGTTTGATGGGTCTAAAATAATTTAATCTAGGCTTAATTTCTAGGAGGAATCTAGCACAAACATATATTTTCTCCCCAAGGCTTATTTTAGCCCAATGGTTGGAGGTTTTTTATTTTTTTATTTTTTTTTATTTTTTAGTTTTGTCAAACCAATTGTTAGAGATGGTTTGGGAGATTTTAAAATTTATATTTTAAGTTTTATCCCATAAGTTTGAGATGGTCTAATGGTAATTATGGGACCATTCGTGGATCTTAGTCAACAGCTAATGCTCTTTATGAAATTACACCCATACCCCTTAGCAAATACATGGAACTATGGAAGGCAGCAACTTATGAGAATTTGCAAATAGTGAGATTCAGTTCCAGTTATGTTACGGTTCAATTAGTAGCGAATTTTTAGGTCATCCGAAAACGGGAAAGTCTCATGTATCCGATCATTGACACGCAGTGAATTGGTCACATGAGAATATTGGCTTCTGCTAAAGCAATGTAGAGTTTAGTTTATTAATTTTAAGTGGTTTTTTTTTTCAATAACAAGATTTTTTTTTTCTCTAGTAGTATTCCTCTTCACTTGAAAGTGAGATGTCTTAGGTTCGATTCTCATCAAAAGCGAATTTGAACCACATTATGAGGCTAAGCTCACCTCCTTCCCTTAGTGTATATAATATCGTTTGTTACAAAAAATAAAATAAAAAATATTTTAAAAAAAATATTTTTTTTTCTCTACCAACACATTGTAAGAGAAAAAATCAAACTCGAGACCTTGGATACATAAACAAAATTGTAAGCCCCTGACCCCAGTACTAGGATGTGAGAAATGCTAAGGAGTAGACTCTCTGCTGCCTTACGTTTTTGGTACAATGTTTTATAATGTTAATAAGAGAATTGTATAAAAAATATATATAAAAAATAAAAAAACATGAAGTGGCGGAGAGTCCATGAATAGTCTACTTTGAAAGAGTCTCCTTGGCATTTCCCATCGGATATTAGATTGGCTAGTGTGACAGCTTTCATTTTCCAAATTTCTAACGATTATGTGTATTGGCTTTAACAACAAAGCTTCAAGTTCAAGTTATAGATGATCTAATTTTTAGGGCTCATGTCCTTTAACTTCGCTCAAGATAAAAGAGTAGGACCAATCAAGGCTTATGATTTTATCTCAAAAGATTTCGGTGCACTTCATGAATAATTATTTTTCCGTAAGGGACATTTGGTTCTTATTAGTACAAACGACGATCGGCAGATGCTCACTGGCCTAAATTCAAGTAGCACACAATTTTCAAGCAACACTATTTTAGTAACAAACAAATGACATGCTAGAATCCCAGAAAAAAATTGAAAACAATGCAGAATCCTGCAACCAAATGATAGTCTTTATAGAGATGCAGATAAACTTCAGCAACCAAAAGGCGAAAAATACTAAACGTGCTTCTTACATAAACAGCAGATCCATCCATAAGCCCGAGCAGCCACAGCATTAAGCTCTGGAACGCCATCCTCGTTCATCAGTGCTGGAAGAACTGCAAAAGGAGATCAGATTTCAGCTACTATCGCAATTGACACCGTGGTGTGGACACGCTCTTGCACTTTGAGATTGTTCAGTAGAGTTGCGAGGACATCTTGTGGACCAATGGCTTTGGCAATGCACCCAAAAGTCTTAAGACTCTTAACAACGGATACCCTTCTTATGAGTCAAAAAGTATATATGAAATATCAGAAAATTGAAACCTCGTGGCTCATTTTGAAACTGACTCGAAAAACTTTGACGGTGTGAAATGTGCTTTTAGCCCCAATAACCATGTAGTTCATAGAAATCTGGTTTTTGTTAGTACAAACCATGAATGCTCACACTCACATGCCTACTGAAAGAAATGCAAGGTAGACACTAATTTAGTGACCAAATGATAACATACTACAGTTGCTGAAAATAGTTTGAACAACTTTTTTCTTCATATAGTAAAACCGACCGAGGCTCCTCGACAGTCTCAATGGCAAAAGGAAAGTTCCTCTTAACTTTCATACATCGATAGTAGATCGTACATTAAGTCAGTTTTCTTAGTCTCCAGAGGATAAAACTCCTTCCACCATACAAAAGAGAAACTGAATGAGAAGCCAGACAGAGAGGGCTTAGTCTGCTGCTAACCATCGAAGGAATACACATGCTTAATTAGTTCATTCCGAAGGGCTATGGACAAGGGAAAAGGGTAGGAGACGGGTCTCTCCACAACTTTCCATCTACCAAATCGAGTTTTTTCATCTTCTCCTCGCACCAAAACAGCTGCTCTTTGCTTATTCTCACCATTCGGAGGGTTCTCGACAAAACCTTGGCGTCAATCAGGCTAAACAAAAGCTGAACATCTTCTTGCAACTGCGGCCACGATTTCTTCTTCCAACCTTTCCTCTTTTTTTGCAGTTCCTTTAACTTTATCCATTTCTGAAGCACAAACAGACAAGTTTCACGACATAATATGATCATTTGAAAAGAAATAATAGTTATAGTAATCCAAGGGTAGCACACATATAAAACATGACCTTTATGCTTCAACCCTAACGGAAAATGCTTGCACCTTCAAATAGTTCACATTGCATTCTCGACAACAGCATAATATTGAGGTTCAGAACACCAGCTTGACATCATTATTAAGACAGATTATTCAAATTTATCAAATGAAGCATAACTTAAACAAGTTAGCCAGTCTATCTAGGCGTTCCGAACAAACTAGAAAATATCTACAGAAATTTTGAATCCGAAACACACTGGAAGTCATTTCTTTAGAAGATCTATCAGTACCCAAACCACAACAGTTATGGGATACAGAAAATTAGAGAAAGAATTCTATTATTCGAGTCTAGTAGTCCAAATGTTTTATGCATGTTATAAGCACATGCACACAAAATCCCCAGAAAAGAAATTATGAAGAAACTCACACAAGTAAGAATAAGGCTCCACTCTTCAGCAGGTAAAAAGTAATAAAATTTGAAATTAACACGAATGTAATCAACAAGACCACTTTTATTATAAGACTTTGTTATAACTTGCATAAAGATGCTACGGTGGAAAGACGAAAGAAAAGATATGCTAGAAAAACTACCTTCTCGAGAGAAGATTGAATCTGCTGAAGTGGGGTGGCAGCCTGGTTTTGATTCCCAAACAAGTTAAGAACAGAGCTTGGTTTTTTCTTATCCATCTTCAGGAAAAGCTGGAAAGTGAGGATTGAGGTTTCAATAATCTTGATGAGGTCAGGAGCATGGACCACCGAATCTAATTCTTCCTCCTTTCCTTTTTGAATTGGACCTGAACAAATTCATGACACCAAAGCTATTAACATCATAAACAATGAAATTTACCAATAGGTCTTACTAATATTAGAAAGCTGGGGAATTAGTACATATGAATATGGTAATAAATGAAACAAGGCTTCTAATTTCATTGCTCGTAACTGAACTTACAACTTTAGTAGACATCAAATTCTTGATCCTAAACTTTTTATACTGACAAGAAGCTTACCTTGTATATTAGGCACCCGCAGTAAATTAGGAAGAAGCCTTTGTGTGCGAGCATAAATTTCAGCCCTGTGGCCCTCCTCAAAAGGTTCATTTTCGATATACCTTTGTAGTAAAACCTGGAACTGTTGAAACTGTTGAGCACTGTGGTTGTAACTGTTGGGATTTTCAGGTTGGCAAGCGATTAGCTGGTTTAGTTGAGTGTACTGACAGTGCAGTGCCTCCCAAGACAAGCAAAGTTGACCTACATATGATGTCTCAATATCCTGGAACGGATCATTTTCTGGCTGTTGAAGGTGCTCAGTTTCCTCATCAGGCTCTTCAATCTTCTTCAAAGAAAGACAGCGAAAAGGGGAGGTAAGCTTCTTAGATGCTGTTCGCGGTGATGGGGTCGTAGGGGTTTGGATGCCTGTAAGACAACATTTATTTGCATTGACGATTTAAATAATCTGTTTGTACCAAAAAGAAAAACCAAAAAAAATCTACAGAGACTATCGCTCTGCAGTAACCTAACCCCTGGAGGTCAGGAAACAACATATAGACAAATGTATTGTTTCATTTGCAGACCAACTAGCTTCAGAAACATCAGCTTACGTACTTTCAAACTGCTCGTATACCTAGAACTTAACTGAATCAAGTTTCTATAAATTTGAGCTATCCACGTTTGTCTGAAAATTCAACTCTCTGCCAATTATTTGAAAGAGACCAAGCTTAAATCAGATTCACATCTATTTCAACAATGCATACATCTCCTCGTATCTTTACTTATTCTAACCTCCCATATGGCTTGTTGGGCACATAGAATGTTTCTTTCCTTTTCTATTTTACCAATGAAGTGGAAACTTCATATGTATTTCATGCAGGTAGATCCGTATAAAGATGAAACATTTCAAGTTCAAACAGCCAGTCAAAAAGAAGTAGAGTCCTAAAGCTAAAAGTATGCTTTAATTTGAAAAGGTAACAAATTTGAACAAATTTCAGCGCTTACCAGTTCCATTAAGATGCTGCGCACTCATCCGTTCAAAGAACAACATCCTCTCCCAGTACTTGTCATATACAGCACCAAAGCCACACCACCATTGCCGGCCTTCTGCTTCTACATCCCTCCACTCGTTAGAGCTTGTTTCACCGGCCTGCTCTTCTTCTTCTTCTTCTTCATCTTCGGGAAATGACTCTTCTTCCGGAATCAACACCATGAAGCTATTCCTTCTCAATTCTTTTAACCTCCGCTTGACCTCCTCCGTTATGAAATCATCATCATCGTCCTCAGCTTCTGCCACAGAATCAGCATTGGCCGACTTACCAAAAGCATCACCACTATTCTCCTTGCTGGGTTCCTCCGGCTGTGGCACAGGATTGTCCTCTGACACATTTTCCGGGTCTGGTTTGTGTGCTTTCCTAAACTTCTTAACTTTGAAGAAATCCATAAATCACAACTTCCTTAACAAATTGGGTCTTCTTCTACCGCGCCAACTTATAAATCTCTCTTTCGTAATCAGCAATTCGAAACTCGAAAATAACACCAACAAAGGAAGAAACTTTGCCAACTAATAACTCTTTTTGTTCCAAGGTCTTTATACACTGAAGGCACAGTGAGATCTACCAGCAGAAAAAGTGCAGATATTTTTTAACTCTTACTTCTCAAAACCCTTCTGAGCCAGAATACAATGAGCAAGAAACCCTAGATCTAAGCAGAAGATCTAACAATCCAAGTTTCATTTGCAAGAAAATACAGATCAAGAAATCACCTTTGCTAAAATAGACTCCCCAAAAAGCCAGAGAGATCAGAACCCACAAAACTTGCTTAAAGATTAGCAGATTTCTCCAACATTTTGCAGTTCCTGGAAGCACATTACGCAAAACCCACCAAAAAAGGACCCCAAATCATCCAAAAAAAGTTCAACAAGATTTGTCCATTTTCTCCACTGCACTACTCAAACCCCATATGTTTGAGCTGCACTACAGTAAAAAGCAAATCCCAGAAGAACAAAGTGCATAAAAAGTACCACAAAATTCCAACTCCTATAAAGCCCAAAATACTGAAAAGTTTAAACCTTTAGTACCCAAAAGCTAGATCATCACCCATCAAAATCCTAGAAGATCCAGGTGCATCTCTCTCCAACTGAAGCCCCTCAAAAACCCCAAATCTCCAAATGTGGAGAAAGAGAAAGGGCATCCAGCTAAAAACCCTGCAACCCTGAAAAGCAAAAAATGTGCAGAGAGAGGAGCGAGTGAGAGCACTGTTTGGGAACAGTGCCAAGTGCTTTAACCGTGAGCAATAAATTGATGCATTACCATCATTTCCCTTTTAAAAAAGTTTCATTAAATGAACTGCCTTTTGCTTTGATTTTGTTTGATAAAACGATTTGGATGATTTAATTTTTAATTTAATGGGAGAGCTTCCGTGTTTGTCGAAGTGTTGGGTTTTGGATTTTTGCGGGAAGTGGGAAGAGCTCGAAATTCAAGAGGGTACGCAGGACGGTGGACACCAGTATTGCTAGACACTTCTGTCAGCCCCCCGTACAGAGAATAATAATTTTGTCATAAAACACGCAAGCTCTCTGCTAAAAAAGCCGCGCAAAAGTGGGTTTAATTTGTGCATGGTGGTCTTGAAATTACATATTTACCCTCGTTTGCTTTACAAAAATGTGTATCATTTCATGCCCCATTTGGCATGAGAAAAAAATATTGTGGTGAATTTGACATGAAATGAAAGCATATGGTAATTTGACTGTCGGTGAATTAGTCAACTCCCAGTCAATAAACGGAAAAGGCAAGCTAAAATTTTGAAACATGTGTTCTTATGTATTTACTGGAGAGATTTTCTTTTGAAGCTTTTGCAATCAGCTTCAATAGTGTTATTTACTAAACTAATGTTTGTTACGTGTTAAAAATGTGAGTTACATATATAACACAAGCTTCACACGTGATGAATTTGTATCAGTGTTTTTCGTTCCATTGAGATTGATTGGGTTTGTGGAAGAAAAGGTCATGGTCATTCTAATTTCATGCCAATAGCATGGTGAATTAGAATTTTATGAGTAATGGGCTCCATACATGCAATCAACTCATCTCATGAAATATGTGCTTGTTTAAGAAAGAAATAACTCCAATTGATAATTTAATTGAAAATGGATCAGCAAAGATATGACCGCAGATAGCATGCGTACTAAAATTCACTAAGATATTGGAGGAAGAACTAAAAACCACATTGTATCATTAACATGTTCTAACTAGCAATGGTTAAAGAATAATAATGTTTTCTTTTCGAGTTTGATATTCAATATTGTCATTGATCCATGACTTCTTCAACAATTATTCTTCTATAATAATCACCATGGCAACAAATTCTGTTCGAAAGCCTAAACATGTGGCATTAATGAAAAGGAAAAGGCAAAGAAATTAAAAAATTTGAAACATGTGTTTTTCTATTTATTAGAGAGATTTTCTTTTGCGATCAGAATATAAATTACCCATCTAACACAAGCTTCACATGTAATGGATAAGTAACAAGAGAGTGATTTTTGTGCTATTGACATTGATTGGTTTTGCATAAGAGAAGGTTACATTCATTCCAGTTACATGCTAAGAAGAGTGATTTTTGTGCCATTAACATTGATTAGTTTTGCGGAAAAGAAGGTTACGTTCATCACAGTTCCATACTAAGAGCATGGTGAATTAGAATTTTATGAGTAATGGGCTACATCCATATGATTGACTCATCTTATGAAATATGTGGTTGTTTAGGAACAAATAATTCAAATTGACAATTTAATTGACAATGGATCAACAAAGATATGGCAACACATATCATATGCACAAAACTTTCATTAAGATATTGGAGGAAGAACTGAAAAACCACATTGCATCCTTAACATTTTCTAACTAGCAATAGTAAAGAACAGTCATGATTTCTTTTTGAGTTTGATATTCAATATTTTCATTGATCCATGACTTACAATGTTGGCCCTAAGATTTTTGTGAACCCAGGCGAGTTATTAAAAGGGGCCGTTGAGTGAGAGCAACATTACGACGAAGTCTTAAGACTCAGAGTCTGGCACCTAGGGTTTATAGGTTAGGTTGGAAATCAACCCAGAAAGAAATATACTTGCTTTCTATGCTTTTATTGGTTTATTTTTTTATTCTCATGATTATTTGGATGAAGCGTGGAATAGGTAAATGTCACAGATGATGAATTTATTTCTTATCGATGTTACTCTATTTTATTAATATCATCTAAAATAATATGATGGATTCGGAACAAAGAAAACATATTTTTGGACATGTTTATACATATTTGAACCTAAAGAAATTTGGTTACCAAAGAAAAGAACACAATTGCATCGGCTTGTCTTCTATTTATCATAAATAGATTCTTTTTTCAGAGCCCCCTTGATCGGGAGTTTAGGCAGCCGCCTATTACAATTACCCTCAGTGCCGGTCCTAAAGACAAATTCAACAATTGTTCTTCTATAATAATCATCATTACCACACTCAGTTGGAAAGCCTAAACATGTGCTATGAGTAGCGAATTGCAGCGTCCAACCCGTCATGAATATTATGCCTCATTTGTTCAGCTGGTAGAAAGCTTTTGAAGTGATCACCTTTTCTCAAGCTGCATTTTCCAACATATGCAGTTAGAGACCCACTCTCCGCTTTAGTGAAGGTCCTCGTCGGATTCTTTTTGTGAAGATCCTAAAAATCTTCAAATCATATATGTTCATCGTATATCGTGCGGTTATAAATCATTATAAATTTTTTTTATTTAAAATTGAATATAAACAGTACCTGACGAAAATTAACTACACGATGTACGATAAATAAATGCGATTGGAGGATCCCCGGGATTCTCACAAAGAGAATCCAGCAAGGATCCTCAAAAAGAGGATCCAGCAAGGATCCTCAAAAAGAGGATCCAGCAAGGATCCTCTCTCCACTTCCACCCAACAGGATCCTCTCCGTATCCTTTTGGTGAGGATCCTGGGATCCATAAATCGTGTCTGTTCATCGTACATCATGCTGTTAGTTTTTGTCAGGTATTGTTTGTATTTATTTTTAAATAAAAATACTTAAAATTGTTTCAGACCGCAAGATATACAATAAACGGATATAATTCTTGAATCTTCGAAATTCTCACTAAAAGAATCCAAGGAGAAACTAGATTCCACTTCCATAACCATAGTTTGGAGAAGAATCAGCTTTTCGTAGCTCCCAATAAACAAAAGGTAAAGAGAAAATGGACTCCTCCAATTGAGGCGACGAAATAAAGTTTTTGTTTGAATTAGAAATCTTTTCTACAACGCTCTCATATTTATATTTATATATAATATATAACCGATCAAATGCTAAGATGAGTATTCGGTTGGTAATTCAAGCTTGACAATACAAGGACAATATGAGAGATAATTATCTGTGTGATTTCTACATCGATCAATTAAAACGTTCGATGACACACCCCGACCGAGATCAGGGCGTGCTGGCCGTCACGCGAAGGTGACGTAGCCATGTGCACAGTGCGGAAGCTATTAGAATAGTAATATAAAAGTATGAATAAATAAAAACTAGCATACAAACGATAATAGTAATGAGTGCTAGTGAAAGTGAGACACTAAGTTCAGAGCAATAAGTCTACAGCAGTCCAAATTAAAATAATACGACAACAGTGCACCCAAAGGTGACCCTACATTGGTGCGTGTCTGTCAGAAGCGCCGGGAAGCCCTCTGGGAAACCACCGAACCTGCTAAGCAACTAGAACCTGGAGGGGCGCAAAACAAAAGCGTAAGTGGGCAAAAACAAAGCTCTTTGAAAACCATTTAGTAAAAATATATTCTAACCCCTCGCCGTAAAACCTGTATACTTCCCAGAAAATAAACATATGTACGTATACAATAAATATGCCAATCATGCTCAAGGATATGCTATACCAAATCTCGTGGTGAAATGCAAGTGCTCAGGTATAAATCGTATCAATAACATATCACTGGCAGCCGGAGTCACTAAAGTGACCTGTGCGGCTGAATCTAGAGCTCAAATCTCAATCTCAATAACTAAACCTGCCCACGAGTTGGAACCACCTATAGTGGTCTGTACGACAGGCCTGGGTGTAATACATATAGATGCTCTAGTGCTACGATCACGTGAAGGCTGTGCGAATAATCGTGGGTCACCTACGAGTCGGAACCACCTATAGTGGTCTGTACGACAAGACTGTGCACCTAACTTGGATCCAAGCTGAGCATGTGGTGCGGGAGGTGAACAACACGTGAAGGACTGTGCCCTACTCTGGGCGGGAGCACTAACACCGGAGTTGCAGGTTATGAGCTCTCTAAGCACCTCGAACCACTATTTAAATGCGATTATTAAATAACGCTTACCTGGCACTTACCTGTGCCTCCACAGCACCAATAATATATATAAACGTATAAATGAATATATATAATAACCATATATGCAACTAACCATGCATAATAACCAATAATAATAAAGGAATGGCATAAACTAATAAACATATACAAAAATTTCTGGGAATTATAAGTATATAGGTATATACGGAAAAGCAAAAGCCCACTCACTGGTATATGGAAGGGTCGTAGCCCCCCTGCCTCGACTGAGCACGCTCGTCCTCGGGATACGTATCACCTATATGCGAAAATACTATAAAAACGTTAATTTTAAAGCACATAACCAACTTCTCGTAATAACTTCTCATACATTGCTCAAAATGGACAATTGAATATACCAACGTGCTCTACACAACCTCAGAATCACAACCATATTTTTATAAAAATTTTCCACCGCCGCACGCGCAGGCACGTGCGGTGCACACGGACGGCGTCAACTGACGCCGTTAGGAATATTCAGTCAGTTTTGACAGATTCCGTTGACGGCGTCAGGAATATTCCGTCAGAATTGACGGAATATTCCGTCACCTTCTCCGGCGACGTCGCCGGCGCCGGAAACTGGAAAAAATTTCAAACTTTGTTTTCTCACTCGTTTCTCAACCATTTTTCACGATTCTTGAAGCAAAATGATGCCTAGGACTAGGAGAATAACGATATACAAGTTTTAAGGGTCAAAAACCACCAGGAATTACCTGTGCAAACTAACCAAAACCGGCCAACTCCGACCACGGTGATCCCAACGTCAAAACTCGTCAAACGAAGTACTCCGAGGCTCCTTGGGACCTCACCAAACCACCTACGAGCTTCAAAAACTCAAAAACGTAAGAATTTACGTTCGCATGAATAGTACTCAAATCGGACCTTGTGAAATCGACGTGAAAACGTCGAAGTTCCTACCTGAAACTGGTACGATCGTGCTCCCCTCGACCTCACGAGCTCGAATATGGCTTTAGTTCTCTCGATCTGTGGGTGTATATTGTGGTTGTGTGTGTGTCCGTACGTATGGTGAATGAGAAGGGGGAAAGAGACTCGGGACAGAGAGCAGGGAAAGGGACAGAGGAATAGGGAGAGTGAGGGTGTGAGTGTGTGGCCCAG